GCTCTGTGGGCCAGCACAAATGGAGGGGTGGAGAAGCTATTTTGGATATGGATTAAAAGGACAGTCCACGTCAGCAACCACAGCAATACCAGCTGGGTATGTGGACCGTGCCATGGTTTCCTTGACAGCTGAGAGGAAGGAACAAACAGCAAAGAGTAATAGTAGGTACTGTTTTTTCCACCCTTCCCAGCCCTGGAGCTCCCTGTGGGAAGCAGCACAGAGGAGGCACAGCTCGGTGAGCAGCACTACCCTGCCATGCTCCCCTGCTCTGGCAGGACACGCTGCAGGACTGCAAAGCTTCCTGTAAGGCATCCATCATTCCAGCCCTGTTACCCACCAGCAAGGAAAACACAGGACCCCGTGACACTGATGTGGCAGGAACAGGGAACAAAGCCCAGTATCTGGACTTTGTAAGCAACAGCCTCACACCCTGCTCTGCTACAGAAAACAGCATCTTTTCCCGATTGTATCATGGAAAAGGACAATAAATATTCCGTGTCCTGTTCCTCCACAGGGTAGAATCCAGTGGGTCTGCACTCTGAATATGCTTTGAGGGAATGTTTTCGTGCCCTGTGGGTATGATGGGGGGTGGGAAGGCTCCCACCTCCCCCGATCTGGATGGGAGGAACTGAATTAGGATGCAGACTGCCTGGCAAGGGCTTCCTCCTGGGGAGGAGGAGGGGGGACAGCTCCACAAGGGTTTCTGGGCACGTTGTCTAAAGCCTTTCACTTCCTCAGAGCCCCCAGCTGTTGGGTTATTTGCTGCCCGTGGAGGCCTCTCTGGCTGCTCCACTGATCTCCCCCAGGCTCTTCTCCCTCTCTGCTTGGCCCAGTTGTCTCCTTGTGCCTCTCCCCTGAGCATCCCGGGCTGCTAATGCCCCCCTGCCCTCTAATCTCCCTTTCACTCCCGTGCTGGTGCTCAGGCCACTAAGGAGATTATCCTGGTCACAGCTGCTCGTCCTCCCCGGCAACAGGGGTGTCACCCCGGGGGGAGCCACGTGCGGGGGTGACACATGTGCCACCACCACCCCCGTGGCAGCGCAGCTCTGGTGCCCCCTCCTGTCCAGCCCCAACCCCAGAGGAGGTGCCGAGTAGGATGGGATGTGCTGGGATCAGGCATTAGTAGGATATTTGCCTCCCACAAGCTGGGAATCCGGGAGACCTGCACCCATCCGGCCCCTCTTGTTCGTGTGGGAGTCTCCCAAGCTTGAAACCGAGAGAACCAGGACACCCAGGCAGGATATGGAGCATCCCCCTTGGAGCACCGGGGCTCAGCCTTGTGCTCCAACAGCACAGAGGCAGATTCTATGAGGCAATTAAAACTCCAATCCCAAATAAACCAGCACCTTCCCGCTGCCCCTACCAAGCCAGGCGGGGTTTGGGAGCTCCTGGCACCAATCGCTCCCCTCTCTGCGGATCCTCCCCGGCACCGAGGGGGTTAACGCCGAGCGCCCGGGCTCTCGCAGATCTCCGTTTCCGTGACAACAGCTCCCGATGAATCCCAGAGCTCTAAAATCCCATTAAACATCTGCGAGAGGCTGCCCGTGCTGCCTGCCCAGGCTGCCACCTGCCGGCACCCCCCAGCCCGGCCCCCACGGCCCCCCAAAAACACGGCTCGGGGGAGCAGGGAGAGCCCCAGCACGCTGGGGGGGGGGGGCACGAAACCTGGCTACCAGACCCGGCTGTTGGGCTAGCGAAGGGAGGCTGTAAGGATTGAGGGTGCAGGGGTACACCCACCCCAGACCCCAGAGCCTTGGGGGGCTCCTGGGAGGGACACAACACCCATCACCATGGGCTTGGCTGGCAGGAATGCTCCTCTTGGAGCAAACCAGTCCAAAGTCACTCACAGAGGGGGTCTCAAAGTTTTGGGGGCAGGTTTGAGTGACAGCAGTGAGCCACTGGAATCTAGTACAGCTTTTGAGGGTTTTACACTGACCCCTCTGCTTGTGGGGGGTCTGAGGGGCTGTGAAGGGTCTCTGAGGATGAGACAGGCCAGTGGCCCAAAGGGGACTTCAGGCTGAACTCATCCCAAGCCAGAGAAGGTGTGTGGAAGGCTGAGGAAGGATGCTGTGACCTGGATATAATTAGGGTTCCTGCCTCACCTCTGTGCTTCATTCACTCTTCTCCAGCTTTAGTGATTGATTTAAAAATCAAGGATTTTTAAACAGCCTTTATATTTGATTTGAGAAATTTGGGCTTTTCCCTGTCCTTGCTTCCACCACTGCCTGCAATAGGAAAAAGGCATCAGGAGAAGGAGAGGAGGAAGCTGGGGAGGTGCCACATTTAAGGTCATCACAGAATCACTGAGGTTTGAAAAGACTTTTAAGCTCATCAACCCAGCACCACCCTGTTCACCACTAAAACATGTTCTCAGGTGCCACATCCACACTCTCTGAACACTCCCAGGGGTGGTGACTCCACCACTTCCCTGGGCTGCCTGTTCTAATTCCAAGGGGGAAGAAATCCAGGAGAGAACAGGCACCATCCTTGAGGGAAGCTCAGACAACAGCACAGGGACAACCCACTCCTGTGTGACTGGTCCTGGGGCTCAGTGACCTTAGAGAGAGAACCTGTGTTCAGGCTTATTATAATACAGCTTATTACACAGTATATAATATCTATAAAAGTCACACATATACAATATATAAACCTTATTATACAGTGAGGCTCCTGCAGCTGAACCTGACTGTGGGACTGCTCAGATGAATCCCAAATTGCTCCCCTGCAATCCTGGGTTCAGAAGTGCAGCTTTTCAGCTTTTCCTTCCATTCACAAGCGCTGCCAAGTCATTTGGGTCCTGGGAAAAAGCCTCTCCTCTGCTTGGGGAAGGATAGGACAGGAAAGAAGCAGGGAGGAAGCAGTGCCTTCTTCACCCCCCCTCCCCATCTAACTCCATCCCTGGGTATGGGAGGGAAAAGTCACAGGGACCTGCAGCAGCAGGAGCCCTGGAGAAACTCTGGCATCTGCAGGATCCAGGGGAATCCAAAGGGGCCACGGATGAAAGCTGACACAGAAAGAAAATGCTCTTTTTGAGCTACAAATGCTGGCACAGCTGCTGGCCAGACCCCCTTCCAAATCCTGAAACATGCCAGCAAGGGGATGGGAATCATTAACTGGCTCCTTTGTGTGATTTAACCATTTCCACCTCCTCCTGCCCCCTGAAAAAGCTCAGATTCCTTAGGGTTTCCAGCCCCCCGATGCTGCAGTGCCTGGGGCTCCCCCCCAGCAGCAGGAAGGGGCTGAGAGAACCCCTGATGGAGAAGACAGGGCTCCCTGTCCCCTCCTCCAAAGCTTTTAAAGGCCAAAGCCATGGGCACAGGGCTTTTCTGCAGGGGGAGATGCCCAGGAAAGATGCCAACCAGCACCCAGGGGAAATGCAGAGTGGTTTGATGCTCCTTTCAAAGCACAGAGCCTTGGAAAGCCCCCGGCCTCAGAAGGGAATGGGAAAAAAAGGAAGCCTGTGTCTTGCAACTAAAGCAGTTGGCTGAGAGCTACAGGGTGATGTAGGATGGATGCTGAGCAGGGTGGGGACCTCTGTCCAGGGGAGCTGGGACACAGCCCTGCCAGACACTGGGCAGGCATTAATTTTGCTGTGGAGAGCCCAGCCCTTGGGGTTCCTGGGCTCAGGGACAGCAACGTGGGGGTCTGCAGCCTTATCTGTGCGTGCTCTGGAGCAGGACCCCCTTGTCAGAGGCAGCAAAGCAGCAGGAGGGAGGGAGGGAGGGAGGGAGGAATGTGAGAGCTTGCAAAGCATCTCACTGCAGGAGTTGGAGCTGCCAGGAGGAGGGGATGCGTTTCAGGAAACCCAGAGAGGCAGGAAATCAAGGGAGAGGGACAGTAATTGAGTCCATATGTTGGAAGCAAAGAATGCATCTGGTAGCAGGGAGCAGGCAAAGGGAGAAGGCTCATGCTGTGGGGACAGCACAGGACATGCAGAGTCACATTAACCTCCTGGACCAAGCAGAAGGTTGAATTCAGACCAACCACAACTGCAGGGAGGGGTCACTGGTCTCTTGTTGCAGGTCTGTGCCTGTAGTAGCTACAGGCTCAGGAGGCTTCCAAACTTAAACTCGTTAATATCTTTAATTTAATGGGTAAAGTTGCAAAAAGGTGAAGGAAATGGCTGTTGTATCACAAAGTGACAGGATTTGTTCTACATCCATGTCCCTGAGCATGTCTGGAGCTGGGAAGGAAAGTGGACAACATGAAAACATGGGCAAGAGGGATATCAGGTCCTTCTGCTCCCCAAAAGCAGCACAGCTCTGGTGCAGGAGTACCTGCTGATGCAGGATTGACTCAGAGGTGAGGGCACAGTCAGGGGGATGAAAGAGGAACCTGGGGCTGCACAGTCATCACAAGGCTGTCCCACAGAGGCCATTCCCCTCGTTAAGGTATTCCCAGGTTCAGGCTCCAGAGCTGGGAAAGCTCATAAAAATATTTATGGCCTCCCCCCCTCCTCCCTTTTCAAACACATTTGCAAAGAAATCTGAAACGTATGTGGTTGGAATAGAGGAGTCTGGAACAGCACCATGGCTTGGGAAGGGGGAGAAGAGCTCTGGTGCCAACAACCCACTGAGCCTCCCAAGAAATCAGGGGAGGGGATGGAGCACAGGAATACAGGGCTGAATGGGTGCACAGGCTTTGGTGTGTCATGCAAATTGCTGCATTTTATACGGCCAAAAAGCCTCTCAGGAAGACCCTCAGGTTTAAGAAGGTTCTCTGTACCCAAGCAGGCTTTGCACATCGCTGAAGGTGGCTGTACTGTGAGCTGTCCCTCAGCCACATGTAAAACTCCTCAGGCAAACCTGCAAATTGCTGCTCTCAGGACTCGTGTTCTCAGTAAATTGCAACACCACTTGTGCTGTCCCAAGTTTCCATCCCTGGGAATCCAGCTCCAGAGCATTTTGCTTTCATCTGTAAGCTCTCTACACATGCTACTTGCAGGGTTTTGCATCCAGACCAAAACTTCTGCTGCCCCAAACACCCATTTCATCCCATACCTGCGTCTGTGCCTGTTCCCTGCTGCTCTCACTCCTGGGGCTTCTCCTCTGCCTCCTCCCAGCTTCAAACTGCAGATCATGTTTCATGCTGCTCCTGATTCTCCACGGCAGCTTCTGCAGCACAGGAGACACAGCTGCTGTGGGGCTGCAGGAGGGGAGGGAGGGGGGAAAAAACACACAAAAGTGGTTAAAATCCTCCCTTGGAAGTGGGGGGGAGCGTGAGGAGCAGGGCAGAGCTGAGCAATGGGGCTCTGGTGTAATTGAAGATGTCCCTGTTCATTGCAGGGGGGTTGGAAGGTGGTATTAAGGGGCAATTCCTCTCTGTGAGGCTGGGGAGGCCCTGGCACAGGTTGCCCAGAGAAGCTGTGGCTGCCCCTGGATCCCTGGAAGTGTCCAAGGCCAGGCTGGACAGGGCTTGGAGCAACCTGGGCTAGTGGAAGGTGTCCCTGCCCATGGCAAGGGGGTAGAACTGGATGATTTTTAAAGTCCCTTTCAACCCAAACCATTCTGTGATTTTCTATGATCTGGGCAATAAAGTTTTTCAGAGTTGAGAGGAAAAGTCATTTTACTCACCAGAAACCTCTTTCTCAAGTTGTTAAACTCTGTGTAGTTGCTACCAAGTCACCTTCTGGGCAGCAAACAGGAAGCCCTGGCCCAGGACTGTGCAAAGATGCTCTGGTTTGAGTACATCCTTTGCAGCTTCTCACACTGTATCTTGGCATCCTTAAAGCTGCAAAACCCAGAAGTCAAGGACCATAACCCAAACATGAAGTGGAAAACCCCAGAAGAACGTCAGACTGCAACATTGCACCCCACCCATGGTTCCTCCCCACTCAGAGGTTTCAGCAGCCCTTGATGCTGAGATGGACCCAGCCCAAGCTGCTCAGTGCCTGGGGGACACTTACAGTGTCAAGGGTGGACAAGGGGAAACAGCCTCAAGCTGTGCCAGGGGAGGGTCAGGTTGGATATCAGGAGGAATTTCTCCCTGGAAAGGGTGTTCAGGCACTGGCAGGGGCTGCCCAGGGAGGTGTTGGAGTCCCCATCCCTGGAGGTGTCCAAGGAAGGCCTGGCCGTGGCACTGAGTGCTCTGGGCTGGGGGACAAGGTGGGGATGGGGCACAGGGGGGATCCACGGGCTGGGAGGGTTTTTCCAGCCTCAGTGATTCCGTGACTCCAAGATCCGGTGGTACAGCCCTGACTGCTCAAAGCCCACCAGAACACTGCAACACCCAGGCACTCAGAGCAGCCCTTGGCAATCCCACAGCACTGCCAGCAAACCACCAGGCTCCAGGCAGTCCAGAAACTCCAGGAATGCAGTCAGGCAACTCATTTTTAGATGGCAACTAAACAGAGCAGTGATCCCTTTGCACGAAGATGTCAAAGAGGCTCAGAATGACAGAATTCCCTGTGGATGGCAAACAGCATCTCTGCAGCACTTTGAGATCCCCCCCAGCTGCAGAGGAACATTCCATGGTCTATACCACATCAGAAATGTCTTTTCCCACATAACAGACCCTTCTACTCTCTCTCCAAACTTTACTGAGACCCAGGGATCCCTTCTGCCACAGCTCACATCCCCTTTGAAATATTTTTCTTCCTAAAAGCAGAAGGATATTGTCAATTTTCCCCCACAGATTTGTCACTCTTATCTTATCTGTGTCAGCTGGGAAGTTCAGAATATTCCACCGCACATTAAAAATCTGTCCTTTTGTCCTGTTTAAGCTTGTCCTCAAGTTCTCAGCAGACACTGGAAAAAAAAAAAAGACATAAAAATAGAGAAGGACATTCCTAAAATATTTGCTTTAAGCAGGAGCAGTTTCTATCCTGCAACTGTCTCCAGTTGTACCCACTGAAAATCCCTTTGACCTCACTGCTGGGAGTGTGGCTCATCCCCCCTGCACAGATCCAGGCAAATAACCCCCCAAAAACATAATTAACTGCTTCAGGTAATAGCTCAGTGCTCCCTCAGGAGCAGATCTGTCAGGAAATATGGTCCTTCCTGCCCCTGGATGGTTTGTGTGTGCTCAGAGCCAGGGCAAAGCTCATCACACAGATGCTCATGTGCATTTTCCAGGCAGATCTAAAAGCTCTGCAGCATAAATACACATGAAAGCTGAAAAAAACTCTGCCCCCTTTTTTTTTTTTACATTATTTTGGTATGGGACACACACCCCAGGGAAGGTCTGCAAGCTTTAACAGTCTTCAAAGTGAGGGGAAAAAAGTGGATTTCTTTGGATTTATTTATTTTTTCCAGCTCTTTCAGGACTGGCAGCTTGAACAGTGAAAAGACCCTGAGAAGTGACTGCCCAGCTCCAGTGCAGCTGGAGGGCACTGGGTTATCCTGGGGGGTTACTGTATCTTAGAAGAGGGTTTATAGCTGAATATCAATATTAGACCAGGTAAGACATAGATGGATAATATAAATTTAAAAATAACAACAAATATAAATATCTATAAAATATAAATTACAAATAATAATAATAATAATAATAATAATAATAATAATAAATATAAATATAAATATAAATATAAATATAAATATAAATATAAATATTAGACTGGAGCAGAGCTTGAGGGGGGCACAGTCAGTTGTTCAGCAAGTTTTCATGCTCTCAGGGACGGATGCATCTGCACTCCATATCCTGCCTCCTGCTTTCCTTCCTCCCTGGACACTGACTCAGCACCTCCAGCCTTTTACCACAGGTCAAAACAATAGGTATCCTTCCTCCCAGCCATCACATCCCCTCGTTTCATCAATAATTCTTTCCCTCTGCAGTCCAGCACAGCCACAGCTTTAAAAGGAAAAGGCTTCCACTGCAACCACACAAATAAAGCATCTTTAGGAAGCAGCCTCAGGCTTTGCAGACACAGCAATGAGCCAAAATTGTCTTTGCTCAGAGCTGCTGAGATCCAAAAAGCCCCCTGTTCCTGAGCCACAGCAAACACCTCTCCATCTCTGGGATCACTTCTGATCCCAGGACTGTGTGTCTTGGAGCTGGACATGAGAAAATCTGCTCAGGAAAAATTCTGGTCAGGAAAAAAGAGCACACAAGAGGTATTGAAAGCCTTGCCAGCAGGTATTTCCAGGTGCTGGAAATCCTCTGGATGTAATTCCTTGCCACCCACGTGCTGGGAAGAAAACCTGGAGGGCACCAACCACTTCCCTGAGCTGCCCAGAGACAAGGACTCACCTTGCAGAGAGATGAATTCTCTAGTTCTCTGCATCTCTGCTCCAGAGTCTCCAGGCTAGAGCCATCCCCCTGAGGACACCCACACGTTAGGTCCTGCTTTGAGCCAAGGAGATGGAGCCCACACACAGGATCATACTCAGGCCACTCTACCAAGCAACAAAATGAGGATTATTTTTAGTGGCAGAGGCAGCAGGTGTTTGGGACCCACCTGCAGCACCGCATCCAGTCCTGGGGCCCACGGCATCAGAAGGGTGTGGAGCTGTTGGAGGGAGTCCAGAGGATGCCATGGAGGTCCTCCAAGGGCTGGAGCCCCTCTGCTGTGGAGCCAGGCTGGGAGAGCTGGGGGGGTTCACCTGGAGAAGAGAAGGCTCCAGGGAGAGCTGAGAGCCCCTTCCAGTGCCTAAAAGGGCTCCAAGAGAGCTGGAGAAGGATTTTGGACAAGGGTCTGGAGGGACAGGACAAGGGGGAATGGCTTCAAACTGCCAGAGGGCAGGGTTAGATGGGATACTGGGGAGAAATTCCTCCCTGTGAGGGTGGGGAGGCCCTGGCACAGGTTGCCCAGAGAAGCTGTGGCTGCCCCTGGATCCCTGGAAGTGTCCAAGGCCAGGTTGGACGGGGCTTGGAGCAACCTGGGCTAGTGGAAGGTGTCCCTGCCCATGGCAAGGGGTTGGACTAGAGGCCTTTAAAGTTCTCTTCCAACCCAAACCCTTCTGTGAGCCTGCAGTAGATACAGGGGGTGTGCAGCACTGGGGACTGGCAGGCAGAGATCTTCCCTCTGCCATCATCAGCTCTCACTTGTATGATCAGAGGCTGAAAGCATTAAACGATGCCTGAAGCCCCCCAGGCTTCAGAGCTATCAAAGACTTGTCTCCTGCTGACCTGAGGCAGAGTCCAGCGGGGTGACAAGCACAGAAATCAGCAGGAGGATGAGGCAGAGAGATGTGTCTGAGCAGAGATCAAGAGATGCTTCCTGAGACGAGCATCACTGAGCACGGCTGTGCCACAGGGTCCTGCAGCAGCACAGGCACGGCTGGAGCAGCTCATTGGGCAAGACATTCTGCTTTTTGGGTTCCCACATGGCAGAAAACAGGCAGTTACTGAGAAACAACTGCTCTCATGCTGCTTCCCAACTTGTTATAGCAACCAGAACTATTTTCTGAACAGGTTCTGTCTTCAGAACAGTTTTGCCTTCAGACCCCATCCTCGGGCCAGCTCGCAGGAAGAAGAATCACAGAATGGTTTGGATTGGAAGGGATCTTAAGGATCAACTCATTCCACCCCCCTGCCATGGGCAGGGACACCTTCCACTAGCCCAGGTTGCTCCAAGCCCTGTCCAACCTGGCCTTGGACACTTCCAGGGATCCAGGGGCAGCCACAGCTTCTCTGGGCAACCTGTGCCAGGGCCTCCTCACCCTCACAGGGAGGAATTTCCCCCCAATATCCCATCTAACCCTGCCCTCTTTAGAAGGCCTCAGACCAAGTGTACATTTTCGGGGCCAGGAATGGGCTTATGAGGTCATCCAGGAGTTGAGGAGGAGGAAGGAGAATCTCAGGTTACACACACCTGGGCACAGGAGATGCTTCCAGAAGGATCATCAGCAAGGGCTGAATGAATCAGCAAGGGCAGAGTCAGCATCCCTTCCAGAGACAGTCCTCTAAGCCCCAAATGCATCTGAAGTATAAAAATAGTGCTCTGATCAATAAAAGGAAAAAAATTACAGGAACAGGCATTTCTGAGTTATTCCATCCTTCCTGTATTTTCAAACTTTGTAAAGGTTCCAGCGTTAGGAACAACATCAGATTTATTTTCCACTCCCCTGTTTCTCATTTGAGGTCGTGGCTTTAGGGAGCTCATCCTCCCTGGTTCCCAGTTCAGACACGGGATGCTGCTCTCCCAATTCCTGCCTCACTCCCTTCCTCCCCATTATCCCACAGCAAGGCTAAACAGGACTGGGAAAACTTTACAGTTCTGCTGCAGGAGGCCTTTTAGATTTGAGTATTTAGATCTGACTTCTGGAACTGAAGAAAGGGAAAAAAAAATCGGGATGAGATTTTCCTACTGACATTGCACAGCCAAAATTTTATTAACTTGGAATTAAACGTGTCCGGAGAAAATGACTCTTTCCACTGGAGTTTTACCAGATGCATTTCAAACATCAGATTTCTCCTGTATGGACAACCCAGAATTCCCTGCCTTAAAAAAACCAGGACAACTGAGACCTGCTCAGGGTATTTTGGGAAGACAAATGGGGAGCTCTCAACTCTTCTTTTTTTTCCCTGCCTTTAAAAAAAGCAGGATGGGGGTGTGAAGCCAAGCAACCACGTTTATGAATGGGAACAAGGACAAGGAGCACAGATTTTCTAGAACATATATATAAAGAAAAACATTGTTTGGATCTTAAAGATCCATCAAGTCCAAACTTTCCTTATGTAGATTCTCCCTAAATCAAAGGGAGATGACAAAGCTGCCTCCCATACAGGAATGGGGTCAGTTTACCCAAGAACTTAGGGGATAAAGCTGGAATTTAGAAGGCCTAGGGGAATAACTGCTGTCCAAGGAGGTAAAAGACACTGGTAGCATGTTTGGGTTTTCTCTAGAAATTAAACACAGAATTTAAACTCATGGCTGGCTGGTCATAAGGATGCTAAAAACCATTCCCAGGAAGCAGGATAAGGAAGAAAAGGAGACTATGGAAAAAAAGTCCCTACTGTCAGACAGGGTGTGTAGCAGACAGAGCAGGGAGAAGAGGTTTTCCAGCGTCCTTTTCCTTGTGAGAGCTGACAAATCCAGACTAACCCTGAGCCCACACAGTGGCCTAACCTGCAGATCCCTAAGTCCTCTCCCATATCTCCCTAAATGAGCCCAGCACTGTTGTGCTGTGTGGTAATTAGAAGCAATTACAATAGAAGAGTTAATTACGCCTGCTGGGAATGCCGATCTCCCTTTTCCTGCCCTTTCTTCCTGCTGTGACCTCGCTCCAGGACCCTCCTGGGACAACAAAAGGGGACAAGGGTCGTTAAAACATCCACTAAACATCAGCGGGGCTGGGCAGAGCGGAGCTTAACGGGCAATTAGCATCTGCCCCTAATCAAAGCCGCCTCCAGTCAACACCCCCAGCGTCAGGACTGACAATGGGAAGGTTCAAGGAGTAGGAAAAGTGCCTGGGGGAGTCCCTGCTGCACTGGAGAAAGTGCTTGTTGGGGGAGACTCCTGCTGTGGTCTCATCCCAGGTGGCCACTGGGGAGTTTTCCCTTTCCCTTTTCTCTCTTTTCTCCTGTTAAATCCCCCTCCCCACACCCCAAAAAGGAACTTTTACTGCTGCAGTTGATGTTTAGCTCTAGCACCAGGTTCTGAGGGTAAATCTGGTGTGTGTGAGCCTGTCTGGTCATCTTTTGTGCAACATCAGACAGGGAAAACTCTGCAGGGAGCATGGAGGTGGAATCACACAAGGAACAAAGCAGTGATAAATGCAAGTTTTTCCTAGGGGAAGATGCTGATCTCTGCTTAGAGGAAAAGTCACTTAAAATCCCAGAGTGGCTTGGGGTGGAAGGGACCTTAAAGATTGTCTCGTCCCACCCCCTGCCATGGGCAGGGACACCTTCCACTAGCCCAGGTTGCTCCAAGCTCCGTCCAACCTGGCCTTGGACACTCCCAGGGATGGGGCAGCCACAGCTTCTCTGTGCCAGGGCCTCACCACCCTCACAGGGAGGAATTTCTTCCCACTATCCCATCTAACCCTGCCCTCTGGCAGTGGGAAGCCATTCCCCCTTGTCCTGTCCCTCCAGACCCTTGTCCAAAATCCCTCTCCAGCTTTTCTGGAGCCCCTTTAGGCCCTTCTCAGGTCTTCCTGGAGCCTTCTTTTCTGCAGAATTCTGAAACTGGGCTGAACAATCCCAATTCTCTTAGCCTTCCCTCACAGGAGAAGTGCTCCATCCACAGAAGTCTTTAGCAAGGTAACCTCATTAAAGACATCTATTGCAGACATGATCTCCACAATATCCACCCACACATCAAAGCTCAGTGCAAGCCACTGAACTCCAAAGGATTCATGGAATGGCACAGGGGGAAGTGTTTCTGGAGATCTGTTTGCAGGTTTGGGGCTGGAAGGATGACAGGAAGATGCCCAACAACATCACAATCCCTACACTTTCCCACCCTTTGGTAACACCCTCTCCTCTGTGTTGCAGTGGAATCAGGCTGCCACAGACATCCCTTCTCCAGGAGCATGAACAGTCCCACCAGCATTCCTGGGACTCACTCATGGAAAAGCTCTGCACCCTTCCTGCGACTCCATCAGCTCCACACCACGGGAGGGGTGACTGGGGCATCCCACTGCTCAGTGCCCAGAAACTCACTGCTTCTCCATGGGCTGGGATAAGGGGGGGGGGTCTGTGCCCATCCCAGGGTGACCACAAAAGCCAAGACCTGTCCCTGACCACGGGAAGGGGGCGAAGCAGCTCAGAACCCCAACTGTGCCAGGCAATCCCACTTCAGCACGGGGTTGCTGCACCCCCAGCACTGTCCCCCAGCCCATCAGCATTCCCTGGAGCAGGAAGCTGCCCAGTAACAAGGCAGAGAGGATGAGCATCCCTCCCTCAGAGCTGACCTATGGCTGTGCTGCTTCTCCGTGGTGCCTCTGCCGCAGCCGGGCTGGCGCCTGGGGCCAGCACGGAGTCACTGACCTATTTTCGTATATGCAGGCATGCACAGGATCACAGACAAAGGCAGCTTTAGCTTAGGGTTTTTAAAGGAAAAGATACCCATCTGAACTACCCCCAGGAACCACAGTGGCTCTTGTGACGTTTGTTTTCTTCCCGAGCAGCATCTTGGTGTGTGGTTCTGGGAAGGGCAAAAACCGGCGCGGAGCAAAACAAAGCAAAGAGCTCCACTGAGCTGCAAAATCACAGTTTTTAGGAAAGCAACGAAAGGGATGTGAGAATTTGGGAGTAAACCGGGCTTAGGACTTGATAAACACGGGGGCAACCAGGACTCACTACGTGGAGGGAACAGAACTGAGTAAGAAGGAGCGGTCCCACAGGATATCCCCCATCTCCCTGACACTGATGGATGAGCTGCCTGTGCAGACTCATCTAAACAGGCTGGAAACAAGTCAGCTTTCCCAGGGAACCTTTTGTTCAGGTTTGCTGGTGGACTTGGCCCAAATTTCGAAGTATTTTATCCACACCTCAGGCAGGTTCTGGAGCTGGGTGGGAGTTGGTTGCATTTACACCAGCTGCTATCTCTGTGCACGTACCTGTAAGGGTGAGGGCCCTGCAGTTTGGTTCTCAGGTTTGAGATGCCACAAAAAAAACCCCCAAAGCCCTTGAACTGCACTCCTTAGCCTGGAAAACCCACAGACAATCCCGGGAGCCCTATGGAAGTTCGCAGACCTCTCACAGAAGGGAGAGATGTGCCGTGCAGAGCAAGAGCCTGCAGAGATGCAGGGACCAGAAAGGCACCACAGATCCCTCAGTCTAGCTCTGAGCCCCCAGCATTTTTTTTTTTGGTTGGTTCAGTGAAGTGGAAGAAGCCTCCAGCAGTTTGGATCACTGGCTTGCTTCATATTCTGGATTGGGAAACGCCTGCTCACGCCATAGCACTGCACAACATGAAGGATGCAGTGATGAATAACACAAAAAAAGTTCCTCCAAATAGAGATGATGACAAGAGTTGCTCAATACCACAGGCTGGCAGCTCTCCTGGGACTCTCCACACAGCTGGGAAAGGTGCTGCTGCCAGGATTTGTTGGTGACAGAGCAGGGGCAACAACCTTCCCCCCCCAGACATGCACGGGCAGGAAGGAAAGAAAGAACAAGAACAGATCTCAGCGTCCCGAACAATGAAAACAGGAAAGTCCCTCTCGGCTGGGGAACCCGGACAAGGGCTGAAACCTGAGCTCCATCCTGCTTCCAGGCAGTCTGGGGGGGTCTGCTCAGCCTCCTGTGGAGAGGGGGGGTTAAAAAAAGCACTATTGCAGCTGGAGCATCCTGTGGAAGGGAGGGATGAAGGGAGGGAGGGATGGAGAGAGGGATGGAGGGAGGGGGGCACCCCCCAGCCCTGGGGGCTGCCAGGGGGGCTCCAAGCAGCATTTCGGCTGAAATGCCACCTCTCTCTGCACCCCCCCTCCCCAGTCCTGGCATCCCCGCCCTCCATCCTCTCACCCTGCATCCCCCTGGGTACCAGTCCCTCACTGCCTCGCCCCTCCAGCCCCACATCCCGCCCTGGCTCCCAGGAAACCACTGCCAAGCTCTGCTTCAGCACATCCCGCATCCCCCCCCAGCCCATCCTCCCTCCTCCCTGTGCTGACCTGCTTATTTTCTGCGTCAGAACCATAAAATGGAGACTGCAGGGAAGGAAAACATTCCTCCTAAGATGGCTGAGAGAGAAGAAGGATTTGCACGGCAGTGCACGAGCACCCTCTGCTGTTGGATGAGCCTGGGGGGGGCAAAACAGCTCCCCAGCCCTGCTCCAGCCCCACAGGCTCCAGGCAGGAAAAGAACCCCCAACCAGTCCTTACTGGGTCATTAAAATTGTTCTAATAGCCAAAATATTTGATTAAAAAGCTTCAGCAGCCTTGTCACCTCCTGAGCTCTCCTGGTTGCCTCTCCCTGCCACCTCATTTTTACTTACATTTTCCTTGCTGTGTTACGTTCAAAATCCTTAGGAAAAGGACAGTATTTTGTATTAAAACCAGCATATTTTACACACACAACTCCTAAAAGTTAATGCCACAGCCCTGCACACTTGTATAATTTTCCAGGTTTGAGAAAAAAAATATTAAATTTCATTTGTATTAAGTTGCACATCAGGATGAGCATCCAAAACTTTTTGGGATGGGAAAAAGGGCTGAAGATGGACATGAGGGGAGAACCAGCCCCCATCTGGAATGGGGTGACCAGATATTGTCCCTAGGAAAGGTTTAGGGATGAGAAGCCACATGGGAAATCCTTTAAGCTTCTCCCTGAGTATCCAACTTTTAAGCCAGGAGTTTGTCCATGTAGAGCCAAATCCAGCTGGATATGAGGCTAAAATTCTTTTTGCTTAAAGAGCTTCAGCAGCCTTGTCACCTCCTGAGCTCTCCTGGTTGAATCTACCTCCACTTTTATGCTTATATTTTCCTCAATGTGTTACATTCAAAATCCAATGGAAGAGGACAGTATTTTGTATTAAAAACAGCATATTTTACACACACAACTCCTAAAAGTTAATGCCACAGCCCTGCACACTTGTATAATTTTCCAGGTTTGAGAAAAAAATATTAAATTTCATTTGTATTAAGTTGCACATCAGGATGAGCATCCAAAACTTTTTGGGATGGGAAAAAGGGCTGAAGATGGACATGAGGGGAGAACCAGCCCCCATCTGGAATGGGGTGACCAGATATTGTCCCTAGGAAAGGTTTAGGGATGGAAGGGTACATGCAAAACCTGCTCCCTGAGTATCCAACTTTTAAGCCAGGAGTTTGTCCATGTAGGGCCAAATCCAGTTGGATCTGAGGCTAAAATTCTATTTACTTAAAGTGCTTCAGCAGCCTTGTCACCTCCTGAGCTCTTGGTTGAATCTACCTCCACTTTTATGCTTATATTTTCCTCAATGTGTTACATTCAAAATCCAGTGGAAGAGGACAGTATTTTATATTAAAACCAGCATATTTTACACACACAGCTCCTAAAAACTAATGCCACAGCCTTGCACACTTGTAAGTTTTCCCAGCTTTGAGAAACACCACTATATTTAATCTGCATTAAGTTTCACGTCAGGATGAGCACCCAAAATTTGGTGTTACCTCTTGTGGGAGGGGAGAAAGGGCTGAAGATTGATATGAGGGGAGAACCAGCTCCCACCTGAAATGGGGTGACCAGATTTTTTGTCCCTAGGAAGGGTTTAGGGGTAAAAGGGTTCGTGCCAAACCTGCTCCCTGAGTGTCCAGCTTTTAAGCCAGGAGTTTGTCAGTGTAGCTCCAAATGCAGATGAATCTGAGGCTAAAATTCCCAAGTGAATATTGCAAAATGTTTTCCCAAGATCGGTTCAAAAAGGGCCAAAAGGCATCACTCAGGTGGGAGGTGAAGAACACAAACTGATCCAGGATCCTGAGACTTTTGAATTAATTTAAACACTGAGGAGGATGACAAAAAAACCCAAGGAGCTTTAGAAAAGGAAAAGACAGAGACAAAGCACCTATAACGGTGATGGCAGGTAAAATGCCAGCACTGAAGGGTTGGATTGAGGCAGGAATGGGTTGCCCAGCACAGTGCCAGGTGTGAGGTACCAGCACTCACACCCCCAAAACTGCACAGAATGTCTCACTGGTTACATAACAAACTGCAAAAATACCTCTGAGGGCTTTTCCTGGGAGAGAAAAACCCCTTTTTGTGGGATCAGGGTGAGGCTGAGCCAGAGCTGGAGCTCTGAGGTGATGCTCCTGCTACTGCAGGATGTCTGGGTGTGGATGGAGCAGGGAACACCCAGGATGGGACACCCAGAGAGGCTCAGCTGTATTCCTGTCATTTATATACATA